AACATATCATACTTTGAAGCAAAGAAAGTAGTAAATGCAGAGTCTAAATCTTCTACAGGACCAACATACTCAGCCATAGTTTCTTCTCCTTCTCCGACACCTGTCTATAAACCTCAACCAGTTTCAACTGCATGCCAAACCGTTATATCTTGGGTGACTGATGATCAAATAACCGTGAATGACACAGATCTAACATCAAACGATTGTCAACGTTCATCAGCCTCCCAGACTGACGAAACGCAACCAGATAATATAAATTCAACTCAGGCAACACAGAGTGTTACCCAACTTTCAAGAAAAGAAAACAAAAAGTTAAGGAAAAAGAACAGAGCACTTCAGCATTTGGAAGATTCTCCTTCTTTGAGCCCTCCTGTGCTGGTTCAAAATTCGTTTGAACCACTTGACATGGAGATTGCTTCTTCACACACAACGTGTAGGAGTGATGACTCCTTGCATTCTCGATCTCCAGTCAAACCACCATAAGCATTTTTTATGAACTTAATCCAATGGAATTGCAGGGGTCTTAGGAACAATTTTCAGGATTTACAATTATTATCGCAGGATTTTAAGCCATCTGTGTTTAGTTTACAGGAGACATACCTGAAAAATACAGACAACTTTGAATTTCGTCAGTACAATTCATTCCATTCGTTTTCACCTCCAGGTGATAAAGCCACCGGAGGCGCTTCTATTTTGGTGAGGCAGGGTGTGATTCATAGCTCTGTCCCCCTTAAAAGTCCTCTTCAGGCTGTTGCTGTCCGTCTTTCGTTACAAATAACCTTCACTCTTTGTTCATTGTACATTTCTCCATCTTCAGCTCTTCAGCAGTCTGATCTTCAGGATCTATTCGACCAGCTTCCCAAACCCTGTATTATCATGGGTGATCTTAATGGTCATAACCCTTTGTGGGGAAGTACTGATACTAACATTAAAGGGAAAATCCTCGAAGACTTCATTTCTAATAATGACCTGTGCATATTTAATGATGGATCAGCCACGTATTTACACCCTGGTACAGGAACATATTCTGCACTAGATCTATCACTCACAGACCCAAATATTTATAACGAATTCGAATGGTCAGTTCATGATGACCTGTGTGGAAGTGACCATTTTCCCACAATACTTTCAGCTGTAAATCCAACTGATTATCCTCCTGCAACAAGGCGAAATTTTACAAAGGCTAACTGGTCATTATATCAGACACTTTGTACTGACGAACTGAAATCTGACCTTTTTTGTCAATGCTCTAGATCCTATTCAGTTGTTCTCGGATAGACTGAATCGAATAGCTGATGAAACTATTCCTAAGTCCTCTGCGACACCACACATTCGCAAACCATGGTTTACTGATGATTGCAAACAGGCCAGGAAGTGTAGGAAGAAGGCAGAGAAATACTTTCGCCGACATCCTACAGTTCATAATTTAAATAATGTTAAAATCACTAGTGCCAAGGCTCGACGTGCTTTTAAACAGAATAAGCGTCAGTCTTGGCGACATTATGTTTCCAAGATTAACTCACGGACACCAATTTCAAAGGTGTGGAACATGATACAAAGGATAAAAGGTAAAGGTTCCAAATCTACTGTACATCATCTGAAGGATGGTGATACTTTGTTAACTGATCAGACTGACATTGCAAATAAGCTTGGTGAAACTCTCGCCAAACATTCGTCTTCCTCCAATTATGTCCCTGAGTTTCAAAAACATCAGAAACAACAGGAGAAGAAAAGAATAAATTTTACATCAGACAATGGAGAAGACTACAATGAATTATTTTCAATGCATGAGTTACGTACTGCCCTTGAGCAAGCTCATGATACAGCAACAGGAGCTGATAATATACACTATCAGCTCTTGAAGCATTTACCGGAATCATGTTTGGAAACTCTTCTAAATATTTTTGACACAATATGGACTTCAGGGAATTTCCCACCTTCGTGGCGTAATGCCATTGTAGTCCCTATACCAAAGCCTGGCCGGGATCATACTGATCCGTCTAATTACAGACCAATCTCTTTAACGAGTTGCGTCTGCAAAACCATGGAACGAATAATAAATAATCGATTAACATGGTATCTTGAAACCAATAATCTCATAACAAATATTCAATGTGGCTTCAGGAAAAATCGTAGTACCCTTGATCATTTGGTACGATTAGAATCCTTTGTAAAAAATGCAATAGTCAATAAACAACATGCAGTATCGCTATTCTTTGATCTCGAGAAAGCGTACGATACCACCTGGAAGCATGGCATTTTAAAGGATTTACATGATTTTGGTTTAAGGGGTCGTTTACCTCTTTTTATATCACGGTTTTTGAAAGACAGGCAATTTCAAGTCCGAGTGGGTTCAACCCTGTCTGACCATTACAATCAGGATCAGGGTGTCCCACGAGGCAGTATTTTGTCTGTCACTTTATTTAGCATTAAGATCAACAGTTTATCCAAGGTTTTAAACGATTCAATTGATGGATCACTTTTTGTGGATGATTTTAACATTTCTTGTCGTGGTAAGAATATGCATACCATTGAACGGCAACTACAGTTGTGTTTAAACAAAATAAATAAATGGTGTCTTGAAAACGGCTTTAAATTTTCTAAATCAAAAACTAATTGCATACATTTCTGCCGTAAATATAAACCACATAAAGACCCAGAACTGTTTTTAAGTGGCACTCCCATCAAGGTTGTAAAAGAGGCCAAGTTCTTAGGTCTCATTTTCGACTCCCATTTAACTTTTCTTCCGCATATCAAATCCCTGAAAACTAAATGCCTGAAAGCACTCGATTTATTGAAAGTCGTGTCTAATTCAAGGTGGGGAGGGGATCAAGCTACACTCCTACACCTTTACAGATCACTTGTCCGCTCGAAGCTTGATTACGGCTCTATCGTATATGGTGGGGCCTGTAAAAGCAACCTCAAACTACTTGATTCTATCCATCACCAGGGTCTAAGACTTTGTCTTGGGTCTTTCAGAACCTCTCCCATTGACAGTCTCTACGTTGAGGCCGATGAGCCATCTTTAAAACTTCGCCGTATCAAATTGTCCCTACAATATATCACAAAGTTATATTCTAATGAATCAATCCTGCTCACACTTGCGTTTTAATCCTCTTTATGAGGATTTGTATAATAAAAAACCTTCACTTGTCCCACCTCTTGGGATAAGAATCCAACAATATATTTCTGCTGCTGGCATTGAGTTGGAGAATATATCTCCTTCCCGTCTTCTTTCTTCTCCTCCTTGGCAATTGGTTAGGCCACAAGTCGACCTAACACTCACTAAATTTAAAAAATCAGAAACTAATGACTTACAATATAAACAAGAATATAATCAATTAAAAGTAAATATAATACATATAAATCCGTATTTACAGATGGGTCCAAGGATGGTGGCGCGGTTGCTTGTGCCACTGTCATTGGGTCCAAAACAATATCTTCCAGATTACCCAATGACAGTTCCATTTTCACAGCTGAAGCAAACGCAATCCTAACAGCTCTTAAATATATAAATAGACACCCTAAATATAAACAATACATAATCTTTTCTGACTCTCTGTCTTGCCTTCAGGCGATTAAAAATATTTCTTGTAAACATCCACTTTTAATAGAAATTATAGAATTATATAATGATCTTGCAACTGGCCAATGCGACATCGTCCTCTGTTGGTTACCCAGTCACGTTGGTATTTCTGGGAATACCATGGCCGATCTTGCTGCAAAGGCAGCACTCAACAAATCTGTGACACCACTTCTTATTCCTTACTCTGATTATAAAGCAAGCATTAGAACCTACATCCGTGATCTGATGCAGAAGAAGTGGGACACCCAAGTAGGTATAAATAAATTACATGAAATAAACCCTATATTGGTTACACCTACTTGGGTTGTCAGTCCAGATTTGAAGAGGTCATCATACGACGATGTCGTATTGGCCACACACGATATACTCATGAGTACCTATTAAAAGGTGAGGATCCTCCGTTTTGTATCCCTTGTGATGAAAGAATCACGGTCAAGCATGTCCTGCTTGACTGTGTTGAATATTCCATCACAAGGATATTTATTTCAAAGTAAAAACTATGAAGGATCTTTTCAATCATATAAGTTCTCATTTAATTATTGCCTTTTTAAAAAATTAGACTTGCTAACTGATTTGTAAATAGATATATATTTTATTATTGGTAGTTTAAATTAGTAACTGAGATTGTTAGTGGCTGTACCCTCAAAGGGGTTGAAGTAGCGTAAAATTATTGTCCTCCTGAGAGGTACGTAAGTCCCAAAGCATTCAAACTAAATTTAAATATACCATTAGTTTTAATCGTAGAATATGTGTTATTTTAACTTATGGCTAATTTGTCAAAACTTGCTCACGGCTGAAGGGATGGTGTAAATCCAGCTAGGGTCCATGCAGGAAGCAAATGTACTGTAAGTCCCCATGGTCCCTAGTATGGTGATCTACCTTCAGTTGTTAGCGATCTATAGCCCATTTTTATATTGTGTTGTCCCCCATAGTTATATTTTTTTAGATTCAATTACTAGTTTTACATATATATCTGTGATAATCTAGTTATTTTACTGTCCTTCGTTGGCAGAATTTTATAATTTCACTTAAATTGTTGATATATTTATAACTTGCTTTAGTCACGATATGGCTGAAATATTGCCGATGTGACTTAAAATCTTAACTCACTCACTCACTCCTCCGTAGGTCTTACTATCTCCTCCGTAGGTCTTAGTATCTCCTACGTGTGACATACTGTCTCCTCCGTAGGTCTGCGTATCTCCTACGTAAGTCCTACGTAGGAGATAGTGACACCAAAAAGCTTTTTTTCCGTATCCCTGACAGCGATACTGATTAAGTGTTGGTTTTTCCTTATATTTTCACCAGTTTATTATATGTCAACTGATATATGTGCTTTTCGTTCATTTTTATTATAATGTCTTCATGAAAGTTAAACTTATGAGTTGTTACATATAAATGCATGTCCTTGCAGATCCATTTGCCTACAGGGAATACAGTGACTGTTAACATACACAACAGTGAGAAAATGCATTTTCTTAATGTTGATGTGATGTCCTCTGTCAACGATTTTGGAAAAAGTCGCGGTATGTGTGGTAAACTATCTGCAACAACTGGTGATGATCGGGTGAAGAAAGATGGTTCGAGTACAACCTCTGATGAAGACTTTGCAGAATCCTGGAGGTAACGTATTAGCTATACTATACAGGTTGGAATTGAAAATCGTACAGCATGGTCATTTGGCTCTCCTTAACAATGAACAACAATGGTCAGCAGACCAGGGTTCGATTTCCCACATGGGTACAATGTGTGAACCCATTTTCTGGTGGCCCCCCATCTGTGATATTACGGGAATATTGCTAACAGCGCGCGTAGAAGTAAAGTCACGCTCTCACTCCTAGAAGATGAATAATTTTGGCAATCCTGTGAAAGAGTGTGGTGGTTGAGGGCACTGGAGCCAAGAACCTTCATTATCTCACTTATTTGATCCAGGATCAAATTAATATTAATAATATAATAATCTTGTTTTGTTGTATTGCGCTTGAAGTCCATGTTGTACATGCTGAAAGAGCTCACAGGAAAGGGTTGGTTTCGAGTTTGCGTTAGAAGAGTTCACATGAAGAAATGGTTCTGAGTTCTGTAGTGGAGAGAGCTCCAAAGATGTGCTGCTACAAAGTGAAATGATCTGTAGCCAAAAGATTTCAACTATATGAGGGTACTTGAAGCTGAAGCTGGATGCTGGACCGCAACGACCTTGCAGGGCTATACACTCAGACAAGGTCTTGCAGGTACTGTGGAGCTTAACCATGAACACACTGGTGGGGCTGCGTGAGTATTGGCCATGTGTGGGAGTCCCTCTTTGCTTGAACTACAATTCTGGCAGCTGTATTTTTTATTCTTCTGCAAGCGCTTGATGTCCTTTGCTGATGTTCCAAGCTATGCTGTTGCCTCAGTCGAGTCATGACAAGGTCAATGACCAGAAAAGTGACGCAGCTGATGGCTGTGTGATCATGTGGCGAATACTGTCAATAGATCTGACGTGAAAGTAGCATTTCTTGACGTTTTCACTGACCTGTCTGTCCATGTTCAGAGAGGAATCAAGGTAAATACCCAAATTCTTCACAACGACCTGCCATCTTGTAAATGATCTAAAGTCACTTCATGAAGTTTTCTTGGAGGTCCAATGATCATTCATTTGGTCTTGTCATCGTTTAACTTAAGAGATTTCAAATCCATGATTTGACGTCTTCAATGCAGGTTCCCATTTTGTGATGGTATTGTGCTGGGCTATACCATATGTCATCTAATTATCATGAATGTGTGTGTCATCTGTATAGAGGTGATATACAGTGTCATGCTGAGATAGTGGGTTTGAGGAGGTTCTCAAAACAACCTCTGGGTGGACGATTTGGAGTTTCTGATGCTGACAAACTGATGCCGATCTGTAAGGCAGGCAGAAATCCAGCTGAGGAATGCGAAATTTAAGCCAAAGACGTTGTGAATACGTTGAACTAGGGCTGCGTGATGTCGAAAGCCAATGAAAAGAGTTCTCATACATCCATGATTTGACGTCTTCAATGTAGGTCTCCATTTTTGTGATCGTATTGTGCTGGACAATTCCATCTCTCATTATATATGATATGCAGTGTCATGCTGAGATATGACACCACCAAGTGGAGTGGTTTACAAGGTGAATAAGACTGGTCATAAAACTGAAACATGTGGAACACCAGAATTTGAGTTTATGATGCTCACATACTGTTGAAGATCTGTAAGGTAGGAAGTTAACCATTTGAGGAATGTACAATTTAAGCCAAGGACTTCGGGAAGGCGTTGAGTGGTCGAGTGTGGTTTTACGCAACTTTTAGCAATATTCAACCCATATCACGGCAGGGAACACCAGAAATGGGCTCCACATATTGTACCCATGAGGGGAATCGAAGCCAGGTTTTCGGCGTGACGAGCGATCACTTTAGCCACTAGGCTACCCCATCCCCCGTGAAGGGGTTGAACTAAGGATGAGTGGTATATATGGTGTTGAATGTCGATGGTAAGTCCAAAAGTGTTACAACAGCGATTTGGTCCTCATCCACCCTACTACGTACCTGACCAACAATACACTTTAAGGCGGTCTCAGTGCTGTGCGCCGTCCTGTACGCCAACTGATATTTGTCAATGAGGTCGTATTTCTCAAGATGAGCAAAAAGCACTTTGACTGCATGTTTGTCTAATAGCCCGGAAAGTGTAGCATTGATCTGTCAATATGTTTACATGATCTAAAATGGGGTTCTCAAAACGTTACATACTGCACTGTGGATAGCACAACTTATATACTGAGTCAAAAAAGAAACTTCACAAAATGTAATTTGAAAAATAATGAATACTTTTTCTCTGATTATAGTGAGTGAGTGAGTTAAAATTTAACGTCACATCGGCAATATTTCAGCCATATCGTGACGAGAACAATTAATTTTATGCATAATAAGCAATAGCAAACTATAAAAACCTGTCAACGGAGGACAGTAAAACAACTAGAATATCACATATACAGATAAAACTAGTAATAGAGTCTAAAATATTTAGACAACACAATATAAAATTGGGCTATAGATCGCCAACAACTGAAGGTAGATCACCATACTAGAAACCATGGGGACTTACATTACTTTCGCTACCTGCATGGATCCTAGTTGGATTTACACCATCCCTCAGCAGCTGGCGATTGTAGGACAAGTTTAGCCAAAATTTAAATGAACAAATATACTACGATTAAAAATCGGGTAAGCAAAAAGTGAACTTTGAAAGTTTTGGGACTTACGTACCCTCTCAGGAGGACAATAATTTTACACTACTTCAACCCCCTTTGAGGGTACAGCCACTAACAATCTCAGTTACTAATTCAAACTACCAATGATAAAATATATATCTATTTACAAATCACTTAACAAATCTAATTCTTTTTAAAAAGGCAATAACTAAACGAGAACTAACAGTAGTAAAAGTTCCTTCAATGTTTTGATATTAAAATACTTATCCTTGTGATGGAATATTCAACACAGTCAAGCAAGACATGCTTGACTGTGATTCTTTCATCACAAAGGGATGCAAACTGGAGGATCCTCACCTTTAAAGTAAATATTCAGTGAGTATATCTGAGTGTGGCCAATGCGACATCGTCGCATAATGACCTCTTCAAATCTGGACTGACAACCCAAGTAGGTGTAACCAATGTAGGGTTTTATTGCATGTAATTTATTGATACCTACTTGGGGTGTCCCACTTCTTCTGCATAAGATCCCGGATGTAACTTCTTATAACTGGTTTATAATCACTATAAGGTATTTGAAGTGGTGTCACAGATTTGTTGAGAGCAGACTTGCAGCAGAGAGTCAGCCACTGTATTACCAGTGATTCCAACATGGCTGGGTAACCAACAAAGACAATGTCGCATTGGCCAGTAGCAAGATTATTATGTAGTTCTATTATGTCAAAGTAAAACAGGATGCTGACATGAATTGTTTTTAATTGCTTGAAGACAAGACAACGAGTCCGAAAAAATAATAAAGTCCTTATGTTTAGACTGTTTGATATATCTGAGGGCAGTTAAAATGGCCTTTGCTTCTGCTGTAAATATGGAAGCGTGATCTGGTAATCTAGTTGATAATGTTTTGGATCAATGACAGTGGCACACGCAACTGCACCACCATCCTTGGATCCATCTGTAAATATAGATTTATATGTATTATATGTACTTCTTAATTGATTATATTCTTGTTTATACTGTAACTGATTTGTTTCTGATTTCTTGAGTTTGGTTAATGTCAGGTCAACTCTTGGCTGGACCAACTGCCAAGGTGGAGAAGAAGAGCAGGCGGAAAGGAGATATATTTAGTGAGTGCAATATTAGCAGCTGAAATAAAAGGTTGAATTCGTATTCCCAGAGGTGGAATTAGCGATGACTTTTACCGTAAAGATCTTCATACAGAGGATTAAACACACAATTGTAAGCAGGGTTAGACTTATTAGCATATAACTTGGTTATGTACTGTAACGACAGTTTAATTCGGCGTTGTTTTAGGAAGAAGCTCGTCAGCTTCAATGTAAAGACTGTCAATAGGTGAAGATCGGAAAGATCCAAGACATAGTCTCAGACCTTGATGGTGAATAGAATCAAGCACTTTGAGATTACTTTACAAGCTCCACCATAGACAGATGGAACCATAATCAAGCTTGGAACGGATCAGCGATCTATACAAGTGTAGGAGGGTTGACTGATCACCTCCCCACTTAGAGTTAGAGACAACTTTCAAGAGATCAAAGCTTTCAGACATTTTTGCTTTAAGAGATTTGATATGAGGTAGGAATGTAGATGATGGTCAAATATGATACCTAAGAATTTAGCTTCTTTAACTACTTTAATGGAATTACCCGATAAATGTAAGTCTGGGTCTTTATGTGGTTTATACTTACGACAGAAATGGATGCAGTTAGTTTTAGACTTAGAAAACTTAAAGCCATTTTGTTCGGACCAATCATTGATTTTATTGAGACAGACTTGCAACTGTCTCTCAATTGTGCGCATATTTTTACCTCGACATGAAACATTAAAATCATCGACAAATAACGACCCATCAATAGAGTCGTTTAAAACTTTTAGATAAGCTGTTGATTTTTATACTAAACAACGTTACCGACAATATGCTGCCTTGTGGTACACCCTGATCTTGATCGTGAAAATTCAGACAAGGTGGATCCCACTCGAACCTGGAAATGCCTGTTTGTCAAAACTGTGATATGAAATTTGGCAAACGGCCTCTCAAACCCATGTTATGAAGATCTGTTAAAATTCCATGTTTCCAGGTGGTATCATAAGCTTTCTCTAGGTAAAAAATATAGATACGGTGTGTTGTTTATTAATAAAACCATTCTTCACAAAAGTTTCCAGTCTAACCAAATGGTCAATAGTACTTCTGTTTTCCTAAACCCACATTGGATATCGGTAATCAGTTCATTTGTTTCTAAGTACCATATTAGTCTGTTATTGACCATTCGTTCCATGGTCTTACAAACACAACTAGTAAGCGATATTGGCCTATAGTTTGAAGGATCAGTGTGATCGCGGCCAGGTTTCGGTATAGGAATGACGACAGCATTACGCCATGATGAAGGAAAATTTCCCGTTG